TCTCTCGAATGGGTGTCTGCCCAGCTCTCTGCAGGGGACGCTGCGGAAGAGCGTGAATGGAAGGGGAGGGGGGCAGGGCCACCCCAATGCCAGGAGTCCCCGAGACACAAGAGCCACAGTGAGGCAGCCAGGGCCGGCCACCGAGTGTGACCACAAGCACACACACACACACACACACACACACACACACACACACACGGTCAGACACGCATGGAGAGGGATAGACACACAGACAGATACACACCTGATCAGACAAATGAGAGACTCACGGACACAAATAGTTGCACTCATGGTTAGACACGCAGATGCACACAACAAACACACTAACACACCGCACAGACACATGGTCACACACACGGTCAGACACACAGAGACAGACACATGGACACTCATCATCTGACCTGTACACACGGACATATGATGAGACACACACACGGGCAGGGTCAGACACGTGGACACAGATACACACTGACTCACATATGTTTAAACACACATAGAACACAGAGAGACTTGGACACCCGTGATCCTGACAAACACACATGAGCACATGGTCAGACACACAGACCCAAACAGAGGTACCCACCCTGAGACACACACAGGCAGACAGTTGGACACGCACATACACAGTCAAAAGTACTGACACAGACAGACACACACCAGACACAAAGTTAGACATGGGCTCAACCAGACCCAGGATCCCACCCACACAGACAGACACAAACACAAACAGACCCACAGACGTGTCTCCCCACCTAGGGGCAGCCCCTAGCAGGCCCCGGTAGTCAGAACCAGGCCACACATCTCCTGGGCAAGGGGGACCATGGCTCCTTGGGGGCCACTTCCACCCAACCACCCACCGCTGGACACCCTGCCCTGAGTCTCCCTCCCAGACACCCACCCACCCACCGCTGCACACCCTGCCCTGAGTCTCCCTCCCAGACACCCACCCACCCACCGCTGCACACCCTGCCCTGAGTCTCCCTCGCTGCCCCCGCCCCCTAGCATGTCTACCTCACCTGGGGCTCCGTGGACCTCGCGGTGGGGAGTAGGGGTGTCTTGGAGATGCCGAGGCCAGACCAGGCGGGCAGGCCTCTCAGGGCCCCTGGGGAAACTGAGTCAGGTCTCCGCTGGCTCAGAGCGTGGGCGCTGGATGAGGGCGAGGGTCCTCATCGCACAAGGAGTGAGGGGCCCAGGGCTGCCGGGGGATCCCAGGCTCGACGTGGCCCGGGACAGGGTCCTCTCTGAGCCCGCGGCTCAGTCACCCGGGCCCCTGTCTCCCCGTCTTTCTGTCTCTGGCCAGCACCTCCCCTTCTCCAC